CGGTGCGCCGGAGTGCTTCCGTTGATCGTTGAGGAGCCCAAACCTCCGACAGTCGTCCCAGCAATGTGGACGTTCGTGCATCTCCACAGGGGACTCCTCACTCACTCAATCGACCACCACTCAAAAACTCGCTCAACCAACTACTCGCCCACCAAATAGCTCCTTCACTGAATCAACCACTCAAGAACTCACTCAACTACTCACTCACTCGTTCGGTCAATCAACCACTCAACCAACTACTCACTCACTCGTTCACTCAACCATTCAACCAACTACTCACTGACTCGTTCGCTCAATCAACCACTCAACCAACTACTCACTCACTCGTTCACTCAACCATTCAACCAACTACTCACTGACTCGTTCGCTCAATCAACCACTCAACAACTCAATCAAACAACGACTCACTCACTCGTTCACTCAATCAACCACTCAACCAACTACTCACTCACTAGTTCACTCAATAAACCACTCACTCACTCGATCGTTCAATCAACCACTCAAGCGGCAGACCTTACTCCCACCTCGGACACCCGTACTTCTCCAGGGGGACTTCTCACGCGAGGCGCTGGTGTCGCCTGAGCCACCTTTTTTTAATTTCTTCTGACCGGTTGAATAAATTCGTGTAAATCTGAAATAAAATATCTACACGCAGCTTGGTAACACCCTTGAAATGTAGGTATGTATGCTGAATTTATTTCGTACACTACGTAGCCAACCGTGATAATTGGAGTTGCGGGGAAGGACAACAATCCCGGCATGTTGGTGGGAAACTTTCTTTCCAGATTTGGAACAACAACAACATTCTGATGCCCAAAAGTGGACTGGAAGTGGAATTCGGAATACTTAAATAATGCCATATATTGATAATAATGCCATATATTTATCTGGGAGTGCCTCACTTAACCTCTAGATTATTTTCACGACAATTCCGCAATGGGATCGCTCGGCCAACTCAACTTGGAGAGGTAGAAACTAGTGTACGTTAAAAAAAAACTAACTCGCCCATGCGCTCATCCATCCATAGAGATGTACGTACGTACGCTGAACTTCTTTCGCACCCTACGTAACCAACCGGGGGTAAGCGGATGGTGCGGAAGGGTTCACGAACCCCAACCACTTGCTGCGCTGCAAACTACCCGGCTACCTCGCAGCCCCGGTGGGCTCGGGAGTTTCACACAAAATCAAATCTCCATGTGCCCCACCAACCCCTGGATCCAAAGCGCCGGATCACAGGCGTGTGCCGCCACCACCGCCGCCGCCGGATGTGCCTGCGTGAGCTGCGCCCCAAGGGCTGCGGCTGTGGCCAGGGCAGACACGGCCACCGTGGGAGTCTGAAAGCTTCTCCAGGCCAGGAGACGCCCACGCAAAAACTGTGGACAAATATCCTGGTTGTTTTTTTTTAGTCCTGCTTTTTCTCCCATCGCGACAGTGACGTATTGGCCGATCGCGCCGATGGCTGAACCTTTAAACACACGGCGGAGCTGGAACGGCGGCAGGCCTCGGGCACCGAGTCCGTATCCAGTAGTCGCGTAGATTTAATATGATTACAGCGCAGTAGAACCTATCTAGTCCATTAAAAAGCAGGCTATCTTTGCAGATCCTGCCTGTAATTTCAGCAGTATCCGCTGGGAAGCATTTGCAAGTCGCAAGTCGGACACCGGCCAAACTTCCACAGTGCGGCTGGGCCGCTGGCTGGAGCGCTGGTCTGTGTATGCGTGCGTGTGTTTGTGAATGTGTGTGTGTGTTGCCACTAGGGAGACAAAGGCGGTCGGGCGTGGTGCTGGCCACCCACCCCCTCGTGTACCGTTACCGGCCTTCATAGGTGCTCGCTAACAGCACTTGTCTGTTAAGGCTATACAGGGGATCTTTGTATGTGTGTGCGCGTGTTTGTGAATGTGTGCTATAGTTGTGGGGAGCGGTGGTGTAGCGTTTAGCGCTACGAACCCGGCGACACGGGTTCGATTCCCGCTCACGGCCAACACCGGTGACGATTTTCTGAACCGGTCCCGGGCTTCCCCTAGGTCGACTCAGCCTCAAATGAATACCTGGTGCGGTGTGTAAACATCGCCACTAGGGAGACAAAGGCGGCCGGGCGTGGTGTTGGCCACCCACCCCCTCGTGCGCCGTGCGGGCCTTCATAGGTGCTCGCTAACAGCACTTGCCCCTACAGTCTGTTAAGGCTACACGGGGGATCTTTGCTATGGTGAGTGGTGGCGCCTTCATTAGAAGAGAAGCGGTTACCGCTCTGGGCTACCATAAACCGAGTTTGATTTCCCGCTCGCGAACAATAACAGTAACGAGTATTTTAACCAGCCCTGGGCCTCCCCTAGGTCGACTCAGCCTGAAATCAGTACGTGGTGCAGTGTGTAAACATCAGCACCGGGGAGGCAAAGGCGGCCCGGGCACGGTGTCGGCCAAGCCCCACCCCCTCGTGTTTCCGTGCCGGAACGGGTGCCATAGGTGCCCGCTCACGGCACTTGCCCCAACAGCCTGCGAGAGGCTATGGAGGGGTGGGGGGTGGGGATCTGTCTTTGTGCGCGTGTGTGTGTCTTGGCAGCAGCACCACCGGGTACAGCAGCAGCAGCAGCACCAGCAGCAGCAGCAGCACTCTTCTCCCTTGATGCTAAATCGAGTTCCCGGCATCGCGCCGGTTCAGATTTCTTCTCCCCGTTGTCTCTCGTCACCGGTTTTTTTTTCTTTTCTTTTCTTTCCGAAGTCTCTCAGCGTTGCGCGTGCCAGCAGGCCGGCCGGCCTGCTGGCACGCGCAGACCGTGTGTGTCCCCACCCCCCACCCCCCCCGGCTCTTTGGTGGAGGGCTCTCGCTCCCTCGCTCGATCTCCCGCTCGCTCGCTCGCCGAGCTCTCTGTCCGTCCGAGACCTTACATGGCCAACGTTGTTGCGCTCTGCGCGCACGGGACGGCACGGGACGGCACGGAGAGGCGTTGAACAATTTCGCGCTCTCTGCGTGACATCATCGCGGCGGTTTGTACCGGGCTGGTTTTGTTGTTGTTGTTGTTGCTGCTGCAGAACTTAGGCAGCGAAATAAAAAAAAACGTGGGAGGGGGGGGGTGTGGGGCTGCTATTTGTTGCAGCGCCGATTTAAACGAAAAAAATTAGTTTCCGTGTTTTATTCCCCCCCCCCCCCCTCACATTAATGAATGGGGGGGGGGGCAGGAGGAGAGGCACCGTCTCAGGTGTGGTCGCCACGGCACCGGCGCTTGCGTACGCGCGCCGGAATGCCGCGGTGAAAACCATCGCCCCGCAGCTGCACCGGGCCAGCATCCGCCGCTGCCCTCTTCCACCCCACCACCGTTCCTCCGTCTCCCCGCCCTTAAACCACCATTGCCCTGAGTTTGACGAAGCGAGTTGGTTGCTAAGAAAACACGGCGCGGTTTTGAGTTTCCACGGGCGGAGGGCAGTGCAAAGCGGAGTTGTCGGAGGTTCCGGCTCAGCGTTGTCGTAGTTTCGGCCGGCGGCCTTTTTGAGTGCGGCCGCTAAATGAATGAACAGCGCCGGTTCGTCCGCAAGCTTCCTGGCTCTCCTTTAACCCCTGGGAGTTCATCGCTCGTTCTGCAGCGGGGAAGGGAAACGTGCGGCCTCCCCCTCGTTGTTTCACACCGGGCCGCGGCCACGCGGGACCGGCTACCGCTTTGCACCGATGTTCGTCCATGAGTCCGTGAAGGCATCTTAGCAGCGGCACTAATCGGGTTCTAGATGGCGGGAGGGAGAGGGGGTGGGGGATGTTTTTGACCTGGAAATAATAACAACGGCAACAAGGCCGTGTTTGTAATTCCCGCGCCAGTCTCGTTAACTTCTCTCGCTGCAAGGGCCTCTTTGTGCTGTGTGGGCACGCCTGCTGTTTTTCGTGTTGTCGGATAACCCTGAGGTGCGCGTGGGTGACTGGGGGGGGGGGGGTAGCGTAGCGGTTAGCGCTACCCCGCGCTCCTATCCCGGCGACCCGAGTTCGATTCCCGCTCACGGTCAACACCAGTGAGGATTACCTGAACCGGTCCTGGTCTCCCCCCCTAGGTCGGCTCTGCCTCAAATGAGTACCTGGTGCGGTGTGTAATCATCAGCGCTGGGGAGATAAAGGCGGCCAGGCGTGGTGCTGGCCACCCACCCCCCCTCGTGTGCCGTGCCAGCCTTCATAGGTGCTGCTCGCTAACAGCACTTGCCCCAACAGTCTGTTGAGGCTACAGAGAGGGGATCTTTGTCTTTGCCTGCCCACCCCTGTGTTGAGAGCGGCGATTGCGCAATTTCACTTCTGCGGTGGTCATAGGAGCTCATCCCAGGGCCACTGTGCCCACTACTGGAATGAAACGTATAAACTGGAAATGCGTTGAAGGCCTCCCCTTCCCCCAGTAGTAATGCAACCTGAAGCTGAGGTCTATTCGTAAGACAAAACACGGAACGAAAGTGTCGTAGACCGGTAACGGCAAAACATTTCGAAGAAGTGATACGCACGTTTTGTATTTTGTTATATTTGAATGTTTCATGGGCTCTTGTTATTCGTGTGGTTTATTTTCATCTTCCTCTTGTTGCTCTTCATCAAAACAGAGCTCGCCATGTGCATCATGATAACGATTTCATGACAGTGGTGTTGTACGCACGTATCTTGAACTTCGTTTGCACCGTATACGGCCAAGCGTGCTAATCGGAGGTGCGGGGGAAGGACAACAAACCAAGCGCAAAAATCAGTTCATAATGAAATCAGTGTTTAATCTAGACGATTTAAAAGTGAATAGCAGCTCCCACTGGCTTCTAAACATCGTAAGGAAGAGCGTTCCAGACGGCCGCAGAAGCTCATGCGGAAAGCGCAGCGCGATGATGCGATGACCGCAGTCTTTGTCCGGTGGCTCTAGCTGCTGCAAGGACCACAGCTTGATGATGGTTTAGGCTCTTTGACGAGATCAGCAGCTGCTGCTGCTCCCACCACCGTTAACACGACGCTCGTGTGTTTGTGCTGCCGCTACCTCCGCTGCCGTTGCTAATTTCAGGGGTAAGAGACCAGCCCCCGTGCCCACCGCCACCCCCGTCATCGAGAGCGCCCCCATCGTCGTGCCTCACCAGAAGGTACACACACGCGCGTGTCTGTGCACACGCACGCACACGCACACATGCACACACCACTCATACGTGCACGAAACGCAGCTGGCACACACACACACGCACACACACCCAGCCTGGCTCGTGCAAACACACACACGTACATGCCGCACCCAGCCTGGCTCATATATACACGCAACGCAGCTGACACACACACAACAACAACAACAACAACCGCCATTCGCCACTAAGTGGCGGTGACGTCACCACGACGCGTGTGCCAGGCTATCTCCACGTTAAGGCCACGTGAAGTGTCGAACACCCGCTGGCAGGAGGTCACGGGGCAGACCCTGGTGCCACGGGTCGACCGACTGAGATGACTGGCTGATGCACCACCTGTGCCCCCTATAGTGCCAACTTGCTGTGCTTTAGCCACCCGGCGCTCCGCTCGTTGTTGTGAGCGTCGCTCCTCCGCCCTCCGTTGTTGTTGGAGGGCGACTGCCTCCAACTGCCCAGTAGCGTCCTTCACGAGCCTCCTCCACAGAGGCCGATCTTGACACCGCTGGTACCAGTCATCGGCAAGTCCACTCAGCTCCACGTCCTCCTGTACCACATCACTCCATCTCTTTCTCTAGCCCGTGCCGCGCCCGTTTAGCCCCCTCGATCCGGCCGAACAAAAGCTGTTTCGGCATGCGGTGGCTGGGCATGTGGGCTACTTGACCCAGCCAACGCAGCCTTGCCTGCCGGAGGAGCTCACCGATGGGACCGTGCCCAGATCTTTCGAGGATTTGTGAGCTCCTCACACAATCCAGCCTGGTTAAACCCAGGATGGATCGTAGGCAGGCCAGCCTAAATGTTTCTAACCGGTGAAGATGTTCCATTAGGGGGGTCCACATTTCGCAAGCGTAGAGAAGGGAGGCTATGACTGTGGCCGAGAAGACCTAAAGCTTCGTGCGGAGTGTCAGACCAGGTAGTTTCCACACAGCGTTATGCAACCGATGAAAAGATAATGCCGCTCGACTGATTTAGAGTGAGACCTCTGCTGTCAAACAGGAGCCGGTCATGAGCACACTGCCCAGGTATGGGAAATTCTCCACTCTCTCCACAACTGCCCTATCACCAATTGGGACCTGTGGGGGTGGAGTGTCCGATGGTACAAAATACCCAGGCAGGTGCTTGGTTTTGGTGGGGCTGATGGTAAGGCCCCACGTCTAAGTGGAAAGCTCCAGGTTCAGCAGCAGCGCCTCCAACTCCTCTGAGTGAGCAGCGATTACGAGATCATCGGGATACATAACATGGTTGAGCAATAGGGAGCCATCCCTTGACCGCACCCGGGCATTGATCAGCCTCCCATTGTATCTGTACCAGATGGAAATTCCTCTAATACAGCTATTGAAGGCTTCACGAACTACGTGGTCGAAATAGATGTCAAAAAATGTGGGAGCCAGAGGACATCCCTGTCTCACCCCAAGGTGAACAGGGAATGGCTCCAACTCCTGGCCACGTAGTTTTACCTGGGCCCGCTCACCATCATGAAGGTTCTTAATGAGCGTGAGCAGAGGGTCAGGGACTCCGAAAGCACGAAGAACAACCCAGAGCCCAGGCTTACTGATGGTATCATAGGCCTAGACCAGGTCAATAAAGCAGAGATGTAGTTCTTGTTGAAATTCCCTACACCTCTGCTGTAGCAGACGGACAGTAAATATGGCATCTGTGCAGGACCGCCCTTTCCTGAAACCGCATTGGGGCTCCGCAAGCCTCTCCTCAGCGTGCCTGGCAAGGCGATGTTAAATAATCCTTGCCAGGACCTTTTCCGGCACACTGAGGAGTGCGATGCCCCTGTGGTTGTTACAGTCTGTACGGGCCCCCTTTTTAAAGAGGGGGACCACCAGGGCATCCTTCCAATCGTGCAGAACCCGTCCAGTGGTCCAGACTGCTGTTATGATGTCATGTCGGGCAGTGTGTGCACAAACGCCACCCTTCCTAAGCATTTTGCTTGGGAGATAATCTCTGCCCAGTGCCTTTCCTTGTCTCATGCTGTGGATCGCCTTCAGTACTTCCTCAGCAGATGGCGCCTCAGGCACCGCAGCCTCAGCAGGATCATCCCCACTTTGTCCCATGATGTTTTCCAGGCTGAGGGATTTCCCCTCCCCCAGGACCTTACAGAAATGCTCAGCAAATCTGTAAACCTGTTCCTGGGGGTGGGAGATTGGATCACCGTTCTTTTCCCTAATGATGGTAATAGGTGTGGCACTGCAAGTTGCTTTTTTGATGGAGTTAAAGAGCGATTTGTGATCACGGGCCATTGAGCCAATCTCCATCTCCTCAGCAACCCGCGACCACCACCCATCCTTGCAGCACCTCACGGCTCTCCGAACCTCCAAGCGAAGGCTGCGGTAAGCCTGCTCATTCTCTGATGTGGGATGCTGTAGACGATGAGAGTGGGCCTGTCGCTTTTTCTCAGCCAGCCTGAACACCTCCTCTGTCAGCCAGGGTCTCTGTGGAGGTATGGACCATGTACCCAAAGCAGCCATTGCAGCTGCATGAGCCACAGTCCTAAACCTCGCCCATTTCCCTTCGACATCAGGAGAAGTGGGCGACGATGCCAACCCCAGCCACACGCGATCATGAAATTCTCGCTTGAAACTTTCATCGGCTAGCTGAGACCATGCCACAATAGGTTTGAATGGGGTCTTGGGTGTACACTCACCACCGGAGTGGAAGAATGGCAGGCGCATCTTACAGATAGCAAGTCGATGGTCAGTGGGCAGATCAGCTCCATGGTAGGTTCTGGTGTCACTATGTAGTCCAGCAGATGTTCTTGCTTGTACCCGGCATGCATCCATGATGTGTGGATGCGCCGATGCCGGAACAGCGTGTTGGTAATTACAAGCCCTTGGGCTGTACAAAAATCTAGCAGCCTCCTACCGTTGTTATTGAGCTGATCTGGCCCGTGCCTTCCAATCACTCCAGACCAGGTGCCAGCATCATGGCCAACTCGGGCATTGAAGTCACCAACGAGGAGGTAGGGGGTTGTTTTTTCCGGACTAGCTTGGCTCATACATACACAGGTACACGCAACGCAGCTGGCACACGCGCGCACACACACACCCAGCCTGGCTCGTGCACCCACACACACGCGCACACACACCCAGCCTGGCTTGCGCACACACGTGCTCGCACACACACGTACCACACTCACCCCAGTTCGTACACACACACGCAGACGCACACACGCAACCCAGCTCACACACATACACACACACACGGCACCCAGCTTGGCTCTTGCAAGACAATTCGTACACGCGCGTACACACACACACACACCCCAGTTCGTACACGCGCGTACACACACACACACCCCAGTTCGTACACGCGCGTACACACACACACACCCCAGTTCGTACACGCGCGTACACACACACACACCCCAGTTCGTACACGCGCGTACATACATACACATCACATCTGGCGAAGACCTCTCCCTCCATGTACCTCTCCTTCTCCAGTTCCTCCTTGGTCCTTTCTTCCGAACTCACCGTGGGCTCCGTGGTGTCATGGGGTTACACTTCTTCTGGACTTGCACTGCAGCGGCTTACCGGTTCGATTTGATCTCCCCGAGTGGCAGTTTGAAACAATGGGCAGGCGTCTTAAATCTCTCCCGCGTCCGCCGGCGGTGGATAGTTGATCGGCGGGTCGCGTGCAATGGGATCTAGTCCTGGGTGCTCCTTACTTTCCGTAGACATTTGGCCAGCGTGGAAGGGTAGGCCAAATTCCCTCTCTGGAGGAAGCGATGTTCAGCTCCACCCTCTCGTAGATGCCCTTCCGGCAGCATTTGGCACGAGGGTTTCCTTATTAAATTTTTACTTAGGTTTTTTTTACTTTGGCTCTGCTGCTCGGCTCAGCCGCATCCATCACTCGCCGCCCCCCCCCCCCCCCCCTTCTGCTCGATTCCATTTCGGGGATCCTCTTGAGCTCACCCCTTCGTGCGGAGGGCCCTGTCCTCCCAGCGATGCCTGCGACGGGAAGCAATCGCAGGCCTGCTCCATTATCTTTGCCTGAGCCGAGTTCTTAGGGACGCGTCCGGACGTCTCCCTCGCCCCCCTCCACCCCCCCCTGCCACCCCGACCGACCCCAGTGGCTGATCCGTAAAATCCTCAATTTCTCTCTCAAACGATTGCCCGACTAGGCTTGGCTGCACCCGGAAAGGGGCCTCTCTCTGCTTTGGCTGCGCCAGCCGGAGCTGATTACTGGTCGGCGCTGGGAACGGCAACGAAAAATTTGCCTTGGGGGGGGGTGGTAGGGGGTGGGGGGGGGTAGGAGGTGGAGGCCACTGAGTGGCCCGGCCTCCCACTCCCCCTTGCTTGCAGTCCTCCCCGTCATCGTCTTATTACCGATTTCCCGTAACTTTTCCTCGATTCGCGAAAACTTATTATTATCTCGCGCGACTTTTCACTGCCGCGTGCCATTTGGGCGGCCCCTCTCGCCGTTTTGGGGATCCAAATCACCCCCTGATCACGTCCCATCTCGTCAGAGCTCGGAAGCTAAGCGGGGGTTTGAGCCTGGTTAGAACTTGCATGGGAGACTGCCTCGGAATGCCGCCAGGTGTTGCAGGCCAAGGCCTGCAAAGTGGTCAGTGGATGGCGGCCATAGCAGTCGATTTACGAGCCACTGCCCTGAATGCGGCTGCTTTTTAAGGACATTGGCATCACAGGAAACCACCGGACACCGGAACACATTTCCCCGTAGTAATATCACAAGAGACAATCGCAAGAGAAGAGGGGAAGGACTTGAGCCTGGACTTGAATAGGGACAGGGAGTCAGCAGCACGGATGGCTGAGGGGAAAGACTTCCAAACTACGGGTGCGGTGGAAGTGAATCTGTCTGTGTGTGGAGCTTCAAGTGGTTATTTCTTCGTTCTCCTGGCAGGTTTCTTACGGGCATAGGATTTTATTCCCACGTGCCAAATTCTCGTTTGTGCAGTTGGCCAAACATCTAAATTCACGCCACACTTGGCCAAATATCCCAATGCAGGATGTTTGTAAAACTTAGTCCTGAGACTCGGTGAGGCTTTGCGTTTGTAAATATAAAGGACATTCTTTTTTTGGTTCATCCTTTTGAGTCTGAAAGAAATTGGACTCTGTGTAACTCTGTGTGGCAGGAACTCCCAACAGCCCAGTGAGCAGCCCAGGCATACATGTCTTATTATTTTAGCTTTGTAGATGCGGCCTTTGCACATTTTTTTACATCAAATGTTGATAGATTTCTCTGGGAAGTTTCCCTCCCACACACAAACAAACTGGACAGGGATTTGACCAAACAATGTAATGCAAGACACAGCTGATGAACGTTTCCTGAGACTCAGTGAGGCCTTTTCCCATGCGAATAAAATACTGTTCTGCATTTTGTTGCTTCCGCCAAACAGTCCAAATCACTCGGGATGGCACATCTCAGAAGCTAAGCAGGGCGGAGCCTGGATAGTGCTTGGATGGGCGACCCAACGTGAGCGAAAGACGGGTGTGCTAGGCATTTGCTGTTGTTCTGTACACAGCCTCACCTCCGACACCGATCCGTCCTGACCGGCGTGGTGACGTACGGTCAAACATCTGCCACGGTTTGAAAGGCGTGGGTAGGGCCCCTAATCCAGTAGTGGATTGACAAACGGGCCGTGCGAATGAAAAGGCCATTCTGAAATTGGATACACTGGTAGTTGCATTTTCACATTCATAATAAAGGTTTTTGGGTTCGATCGCGTTATTTATAAATGTGTCGCAACTCTCTACCACCCGACACGGCCAATCAGTAAAAAAATGTGTCACGTTAACAAAACGCCAATTAGTTACTTCTTCAGCCCACCGGTGTGTTTGAAGAGTGAATCCACAACATTTAGAATTTTAATCCGACGTTTCGCCGGTAATAACATCCAGCATCTTCCGTCAAATCGCCCGAATAATACTGGTCGCGGAAGCCCACGTGTTAAATGCATTTTCACACGTTGGCTTTCACCGCCAGCATTACAAACTCACAGTTGGTTTCCTTTGTGTGAGATCATTCGTGGAGGTGCAATGTCAATCTGGGCTTTGCGCACCATCCGGCGCCCGACCAAAGCCAAACGAGTCGAGTTGTCACGTGCACAAGTAAGTGTAGCCTGTCGGCTTTGTCTCTCGGCAAACTCGGTTCCGTTTGAGAAGCGGAGCGAACGTTCGACGGTTTTGCACGACGCGTCACCGGCGTACGCAAGTTCCCTATGTACGTTTCGTCTCAAACTTGTAATTGAGTATTTGGGGAGGTGTGGGGGGGGGGGGTCAAGGAGCGCGCATGATTGAGGAATCCGTTCGAGATTAATCTCTCCGGCGCTGTTCTCTTCTGCGTTCTTTCAGGTTCCCCCGGAGCGAATTCTTGCTTTTCCTCCTTCAGCCCTGCCGCCCTCTGCCCTCTGCCCTCTGACCTTGTGCCCTGCTGCGCACGACCTCATTTCCTTTCCGGCCTTGTCGCCCCCGTGTAAAAAGATAACGGAAGCCACACGACACGGCAAAGCGCTTTTCATTGTCGTTAGTGTCACATGTTTATGCGTACGCAAGTCTCAATATGAAATGAAATGTGATCGTGTTAAACTATCCCATTATGCGTTTAAGGTTCAGGGTGTCTGCAATTCCTTCTGCCTCTCTCCCCAGTTTACGTAGGTTTGAAGTGTTTGGGTGTCGGTATTGCGAGTCTACGTTCTCAGCACAGAACGGTGCAGGAAAGCCCCATTGCTGTGCTGTACTATGCTCCTCGCTCTTCACCAGACTGCACTATCCAGTGTGGTGAAGTATGGTCAAGCAGTTTCCCCCACATTTGTTGGGTAAGCTGAGGTTGCGACCTTGGATCGCGGCAATTTGTCTAATTGAGAGCGGGGGAGTGAGGTAATCTGCGGCTTCCCATCGTTTGCCCAACCCCCCCCCCCCCTTGCTGCGATAGAGCAGCGAGTGAGTCCCAAGTGCCTCCAGACGACCCTCCATTTGAGGGTCATATTGTTCGGGGTTCGACACGTGTTCGTAATTGGTAGCTCCCTCCATGATGTCAATGTTTTGGGTTCTTGAATGAGAAATAAAGAGAGCGGGGAGCGAATCGTTGGGAGGCCAAATATTCCGATACTCCTCATTCGTGTTGAGCCAAGCGTCGCTTATAAAACGGAGAGAAGCAGGACATTGTGGACACCCAGCAGAACAAAAACATTCGGCTCAAAACACTGCCCGATATGACCGCTTTCACGACGTGCCCGCGGGCCGTCCTTAGTCCGAACCGACCATTCCCTGCGTTTTTGTTTTATTTTACATTGTGTAATTCCCCTACGCATCTCGCCGCCCGGATACGAGAGAAAAAAAAAATAACCAAAAGGTCGTCGGTGTTACCTCCCCCTTCCCGGCCGCGCCGGCCTCAAAATTTGGCGCAGACCAAGGTCTACAACTCCCCTGCGGGTCTGTACGCGGGCGAGGCGGCAGAGGGCCAGAGGCGAGGCACTTGGGAGGAGAAGCAAGATGGGTAAGATGAACCCCCTTCCGCGCGGGGTCGGTGTTCGCGGTTGTTGACGGTGCCGAGACGTTTTCTCCGCGCGTGCTCGGGAGCTTTCTTGAGAGACGTGAAATGTCGACGCGGTTTGGCCGCGGCTCCGGACGAAGCCTCTCCCCGGCGCGTGGAGCGAAACGTCGGGCGGACGTCGCGCCGAGCAAGACGGTGTGGTGACGTGGTGAGGAGGCGGCGAAGACGCCGTGGCGACGCTGTGACGATGCGGTGGGGACGCGGTGAGGAACGCGGAGACGACGTGATGATGGTGATGCCGAGGCGGAGCCGTGACGACGACGCGGTGACGACGCGATGACGATGTGGTGATGCCGTGACGACGCGGTTACGACGCCGTGAGGATGTGGTGACGACGCGGTGAGGATGGGGTGACGATGTGGTGATGCCGTGACGACGCCGTGAGGATGCGGTGACGATGTGGTGATGCCGTGACGACGCGGTGACGACGCCGTGACGACGCCGTGAGGATGCGGTGACGATGTGGTGACGACGTCGTGACGTGGTAGTGATGCCGTGATGACGACGCGGAGAGCGATGATGGGTAACGTGTCGCTTGCAGCCAATCCGTGTAAGTCTGTGGCTCATCGTGTAAGTCTATGCGAGTCTACGACTCTCTATATGTCTGTGACTCATCGTATAAGTGTATGCGAGTCTGTGGGTCTCTATAAGTCTGTGGCTCATCGTGTAAGTGTGAGTCTATGGGTCACTATAAGTCTGTGGCTCATCGTGTAAGTGTATCTGAGTCTACGGGTCTCTATAAGTCTGTAGCTCATCGTGTAAGTGTATCTGAGAATATGGGTCTCTATAAGTCTGTGGCTCATCGTGTAAGTGTATCTGAGTCTACGGGTCTCTATAAGTCTGTGGTTCATCGTGTAAGTGTATCTGAGAATATGGGTCTCTATAAGTCTGTGGCTCATCGTGTAAGTGTATGAGAGTCTTCGGGTCTCCGTGTAAGTCTCTGGCTCATCGTGTAAGTGCGAGTCTATGGGTCTCTATAAGTCTGTAGCTCATCGTGTAAGTGTGTGAGAGTCCATGGGTCTCTATAAGTCTGTGGCTCATCGTGTAAGTGTATGCGAGTCTATGGGTCTCTATAAGTCTGTGGCTCATCGTGTAAGTGCAAGTCTACGACTCTCTAAGTCTGTGGCTCAGCATGTGTGTGAGTCTATGGGTCTCCGTGTGAGTCTATGGGTCTCCGTGTAAGTCTGTGGCTCATCGTGTAAGTGTATGAGAGTCTATGGGTCTCTATAAGTCTGTGGCTCATCGTGTAAGTGTGTGTGAGTCTACGTCTCTCTATAAGTCTGTGGCTCATCGTGTGTGAGTCTATGGGTCTCTATAAGTCTGTGGCTCATCGTGTGTGTGTTGAGTCTATGGGTCTCCGTGTAAGTCTGTGGCTCATCATGTAAGTGCGAGTCTATGAGTCTCTGTAAGTCTGTGGCTCATCGTGTATGTGTGGGGTTTGTGGCTGAGAGAAGTCGGAGCTCCCCTGCGCGCACGGCGTTGCGGAGAGTTTCGGAATTCCTCGCCGCTGACTTTGGTGACATATTTGGACATTTTTAAGAAGGCGTTTAAGAGGTTTGTGTTTTTTGTCGATTCGGTGGTGGGAGGGGGAGGGAGTGTGGGGAAACCCGCTCCTCCCAACTCCTTTATCGGAACGAACAGCGCCCACGGGGGGAGTGGTGGCACATCGTTTTTTTTGCGCGCCTTGCGATGAACTCTGCGACGCGAGTTTTGTTTCCGGGGCGACTGCCAACGCCCGTGGCGAGCAGCGATGGTGGCAGGGGCCACGCTCGAGCAGCACGGCGAGGAACGGTCAGAAGGACCCCCATCAATGACACCGCATTTGGAGGCCTCGACCCCAATTTGGATTGCTAATGGCCAGACATTTTTTTTTATTTACCTGCATATTATTGTTATTAATCACGGTTAGTCTCCTTGATATTTTCCTTCCTGATGACAATTTTTTTTAGCATGAAAGAAGCACGATGATTAAGGTTCTAATAAAGTACGAGTTATTTATTTCCTAGTTTTTTTTTCTTCCATCCTCTCTTTATTTTGGAGTAATGTACGGGTGCGGTGGTGGTTTCGTGACCTACAATGATAGTTTCAGCTCGTGTACTAAACGTAATGGTTTATTGCCCAACCGGCGGTGTGTACGTTACGCACTTTGCAGGCTGTAACGTTGCAGCGATCCATAAATATACATGGGGCAGGCTTACGGCGAGCGAACTGCATTTGAAGAACGTACAAAAATGACCTTTCCCCCCCCACCCACCCCATGGAAGTTGCAGCAAAGCGCTAAAGCCGCACGGTAAAACAAAACAAACCACTGCCAAATAAAACAACGACGGCGTTCACTGGAATGAGAGCGCGGCATCGCACCGGTGCGCGCAGCTCGTCCGCCGGCCACAGATACCCCGGGCACGGTGGGTCCAAACGGCGGCCTCCTGCCCCTCGACTAAAAGGAAACGTTGCGGGCCCCACAAGCTGCCTTGGTGACGTCCGCAATTCTTTCCGTGACGGCTATGGCTGCAGTTTGGGGGCGGGGGGTGGGGGGGGGCTAAATAAACCGCCTGCGATCAATAAGTCAGATGTTCCTTATGAGAAATAATAATAATAAAACAACGAAGCACGACATGCCAAAAAAAAAATCAACCCGAGGGCCTCCGTGCAAACGGTCTTGTTTTCCCGCCACCCGACGAGATTGATGCCGTGTTAATGTTTTGAAATGAAATGCGGCACCGCCTGCGCGGCTTCCAGTTGGTCATGGAAGTTGGTCGACACAGAGACGCGTGGGCGCCCTCTTGTGGATTCAAGCGGACGACAAAGTGATTTATGAAGTTCTGCGCCTTTCTCCGCACGTAGAACTTCCAGTAACAACTATTATTCCGGAGCACGTCAGGGTCAGCCGATCATTGCATTTTTTTTTTCCAGAGCAATGTAATAACCAAGCAGTATTTGTCTAAGTAAGCAAACTCTGGATTGGGTTTTGACCTTCTGGGTCTCATCAGCTGAGCCGGGTTTTGGTAAGCATCGGGTGCGAGATGGCGAGATATTATTGGCAAGAGCGCTCTCAACTTAAACTAAATTATTTTAATTTTGCCAGGTAAGGCCCACTGAGCTATGTAGCTCTTTTTTAGCGGCGACCTCGCGACAAATGATAGCTCAACAAAGTGGCTTATCACGTGGAAGTTATAGCAGTCAAATACTCTCAACGCGTGATGTTGATTCTAAATGTGGACGGTTAAAAGCCGGAGGACCCGAAGAAAAATCCACGGGGAGAGAGACACGAAAACTCCGAATATATAGGCGTCCGGGTCGGGATCGAATCCACGACCTCCTGAAGACCAGGCGAGGGAGTTAACATTTCGGCACCGTGGCGCCCCTGACCGATGGGAACGTCGTTCAAGGAAAAATCAACACCGTAAACAAACTCCATATGCGTTGCCGTGGAGCATTATGGGTAAAAGCAATAGAAGCGCAAATCCATTCTGTCCCCACATTAAATAAAAAATAAATAAATCTGTACCCCACGAGCCCGTTTATTGGCATTCCTGGCCATCGTTACCGAGCGGCATTCGCCTCTCGTTGCTTTGGTCGGTGTGTGCACGACCAGGGCCTGACAAAAGTGATTTATGAAATTCGAATAGTTACGTAATTTGATTGTTCAAAATGCATGTTGTTCTCGTTTGGGGAAGACAAGTCTTTACACGTGCCAGCATAGCCGCAAGCCCTCGGCAGTGAGGACAAGCCGGCAACAAAATGGTGTGCCCCCTTTACTTTGAGCCGCCCGTTTTTTTTCTCTCTTTCAAAAACGCCCTTGGGCGCAGCTTGGCCGCTCTTGAGGACGCAAGACCTCCCTTACGTCCGCGAGGGAAGGCCGTGAGGGTTCTTGTGCTTCAGAGGCGCAGTCAGCGACGCCGAACTGCGTTACGTCCAGCGAACGACGGCTCCTCTTGGGGGACAGCCTGACAGGGCCCTAGGCTGTATTGATGTTCCATCGCGATTGTTACCATTGTCGTCTTTGTTGATTATTTTTACGCTCGTTTTCACCAAGGGAAGCCTCGCCGAGTCTCAAGACACTTTTCCAGCAGGGTCCTGCCACGTTTTTGCAGTAGGGGAGGGGATGTTGTTGTTGATGTTGTTGTTGCTGTTGCTGCTGTGCGTGATCCAAATTGAGCAATTGCAAGTATTTTTTTTATTTTTGTAGCATCGGGATGTTTGGGCCAATACCAGTTACACTGCATGATTTTTGTAGCTTTTTTTTTACAAATAATAATCCAGTAGAAGCCGGATACTAGCTCACCCCTTCGGTGGCTTGACCGTGGGCTTGACCGTGGGCTTGACCCTGGGCTTGACACTGAGCCTGATCCTGAGCCTGATCCTGAGCCTGAACAGGATGAAGGAGTTCGCAGTGTGAAAAATCCGGGTGGGGAGAGTTTACAGATTATGGGGACAGCGGCAGAGCAGGCGTAAACTCTCATGGAGCGCAGATTGATTGAGGGGTTTCCCAGGAGGCCTTGATGTCTGGAGCGCACAGTACGAGAACGAAAGTACGGTGAGATGAGAGAGAATGTGAATCAGGATATTTATTCATACTGGAGGAATCCGATGATCTGTAAAGCTCTTTTTTTTAAACAGATGTCTAATAGAAAGGGCGAGGTAGGCAGGTCCCAAGTCCTTCCGGAGACGGAGAGAGCGACGCGGAATGATCCAATGGAGAGTCCATTGTTATATTTGAAATGGCCAGGCCCCATCTTGTAGTGGAGCCCCACGAGTGATTGAGTTCCAAGCGGAGCAGGAGCGCACGCGAGGGGACTGGCCTGACGCGGTCTCAATGATGGGTGCTTTCGTAGCCGCAGGGGCCTGCACAACTCCACACGTCTCTCTTTGTCTTTCCAGGTGGTTCAGATCAACGTTGGCAACAAGTTAGTACGCCGTGTGTGCCTGCTTGTGTGTGCGCG